TGTTGCCTCACGCTCGCCACCTCTTCTCCACCCCCAATTTCCCTGCATCTGTCTTTATTTTAGGTTTCTGTTGCCTTGCCTTTAAACTCATTGATATTTTCTCTGCAGTGCCAGATCTGTTAATACAGTCGTGTTTGTTTTTTCAGTGTGTTTGTGTTCCTTCATTTGGCATCATGCTGGGTGTGTCCAGGTCTTCAGCTGGGTGCAGGCCGTGCTCCTCTGTTAGCCCCCACATAGTTAGTGTCTTTGGTGGTTTGGAGACGTCTCCTTGTTCTTTGTACTTGTCATTTGTTAGATACATCTGCTGTGATTGGTTTCTCCACCCTCACTGGCCTCTTTTTTTTTGGGGGGGGGTTGTTTTTAGTTCTGTTCTTTGATAAGCAGAAATTCTTAATTTTTATGATTTGAGTTTATCAGTTTTTCTTTTGATCAATGCTTTTTGTGTCCTGCCAAAAAGTCACTCCTAGCCCTGAGGGGGTCACAGAAACACTCTGTTATCTTCTCTTTTTTTTGGTGGTGGTGAGGGCTACCAGGTATTGAACTCAGGAGCACTCGACCACCGAGCCACATCCCCAGCCCTATTTTTTTTTTTTTTAATTTTTTAGTTGTTGAGGGACCTTTATTTTATCTGGTTATTTATTTGTGATGCTAGGAATTGACCCCAGTGCCTCACACTTATGAGGCAAGTGCTCTATGCTGAGCTCAACTCCAGCCCCCAGCACTATTTTGTATTTTATTTAGAGACAGGTTCTTACTCAGTTGCTTAGTGCCTCGCCATTGCTGAGGCTGGCTTTGAACTCACGGTCCTCCTGTGGCTTCTGAAACATTCTGTTATCTTCTTAGAGCTTTATGGTGTGTGTGTGTGTGTGTGTGTGTGTGTGTGTATGTATGGAAATCCTATGTGATACTTACAGCTAGTTTAGTTTTGCTAGTTTTTGAATGTTTTTCCCCCCCAGGGCTTAGGACCAAACTCAGGGTCTGGTGTGTGTTAGGCAAGTGCTCTGCCACAGAGCTAAATCCTCAACGCCACTAGTTTTTGAATTTTTATAAATTCTAGCATGTAATGTTTGGGTCTGTGCCTGTATATCCAGTGTCTTGATAATGAGATTCACCTATGGTGATATCTGCATTGTATCTATTATGGTTTCAATGTGAGGTGTCCCCCAAAAGGTCACATGTGAGACGATGAAAGAGGGTTCAGAGGGGAAATGATTAGGTTGTGAGTGCCTTAACGCAGTCAGTGTATTAGTTAGTTACCTGATGGGATTGAGTGGTAATGGAGGGAGGTGGGCCTTGGGGGTGTGGCTTTGGGGTGTATATTTTGTATATGGCTAGTGGAACCTTTCCCTCTCTGCTTTCTGATCTTCATGGGAGCTGCTTCCACGGCCACTCTCTTCCACCATGATGTCCTGCCTTGCCTTGAGCCTCGAAGAATGGAATCTGTTGTCTATGGACCAAGACCTCTGAAACCATGGGCCCCCAAATACACTTTTCCTCCTCTACACTTGTTCTGGTTGAATCCTTTCGTCACAATGGCAGAAAGGCTAAAATACTTCCTGTTGAGCCCTTTCCTGCGGGTCCCACCATGTTGAGCAGTTTCCAGGCAGTCCTGCGCATGGTGCACCGCAGTGTCCTTGTCTGAGGGCTTGTCTGTGGGCATTCTCACACAGTCCTCCTGGTCTCTGTGTGTGCATGTCTGTGGGGTTTAATTAGCCCTGAGGGGCTGTCACCATTTGTCTCTGTTGTTTGCACATGTGGCCCTGGGTTCTGAAGTAGTAGTGGCATGGGAGTGTATCAGTGGCTCTGCATTGTCTGCAATTGGTGTGGACGATCTTTTTTCCTCCCCTATTTTTACACTTTTGTCGGATGTGGGACTGACTTCTCTGGTAAATTCTTGCCAGGCTTAGCTTTTTTTTTTTTTATTGTTGGTTGTTCAAAACATTACATAGTTCTTGATATATCATCTTTCACACTTTGCTTCAAGTGGGTTATGAACTCCCATTTTTAGCCCATATACAGATTGAAGAATCACATCAATTACACATCCATTGATTTACATATTGCTATACTAGTGTCTGTTGTATTCTGCTACCTTTCCTATCCTCTACTATCCCCCCTCCCCTCCCCTCCCCACCCCTCTTCTCTCTCTACCCCCTCTACTGACCTTCATTTCTCCCCCTTGTATTATTTTTCCCTTTCCCCTCATTTCCTCTTGTATGTTCTTTTGTATCACACTTGCCTCATCAGTGAGATAGGTGGCACTCTGCTCTCTGCAGGGAGACTTTCAGGTGCAGAGACCTATTCTCCCAATGAGCCTCTCTTGGACTGTGTCCTTGTAGTGGGCTCCGAGGTCCTGTGTGGTGTGCACAGTCCCTTTCAGCAGTGTCCAGGCCCTTTCTGTGGGTCCTACCAGTGGTTCAGATATTTGAGGATCACACCTTCAGGTTTGGAATGGGTGCTCCCCTGACCTTCCCAGGAGGCTCACTTTGAAGCAGGATTCTTATGTGTCCGACCCAGGCTCTGCTGTGAGCAGTGAGGCTGTTCCCAGGCAGTCGATCACCTCGTGGGCAGGTGAGCCCAGCATGCAGATGCTCTCCAGTGACGTGGAGGCTGCCCCTGGCATTGTGTAGGCACTGGTTCCTTAGAGGTGTGGTGTGTGGAGGTGGTCATGGACATGGGGTTAAGAGTAGCTGTGCCCTCTGCTGGGCTTGGTGTGGCCCCAGAGGAACCAGATAAAGAGGAGAGGCCGGTGTGGTGGGCACTGACGCCCAGTGTGCTGGGGTCACCCATGGGAAGTTGCTCTTGAGTGTGGCAAAGTCAGGAGAGGCCGAGTGGCTGCAGGACACTGGACAACTGTGGGAGTGGAGAGACGCCAGGGCTGGTCATGATGTGGCGGGAATGGAGTGTGGTTTTTGCCTTGCCGTTCGTTCATTGAGGTAGAGAACGCTGGAGGAGCCCCCAGTGTTGGAGGGAATCTTGTCATACTCCCTGTTATGGTTGTAAGATGTTCCCTAAAGGCTCCTTTGTTTATGGGGGAGGTAAAAGGTTAAACTAAGGGTACCGTGACGTAACCAGTGGATTGGTTCATAATTGGAATGCATCACTGGGTTGCAGCTGTAGGCACGTTGTCGGGTGTGACTGAGGGAGCTGGTCCCGGGCTCTGCCTGCTCTCTCTGCTTCCTGGTGCCGTGAGATATGAGCAGCTTTTCTCTGCGGTGTCTCTCTGCCGTGATGCTCTCTGCCTCACCTCAGGCCCAGAGCAGTGGAGACATCCAGCCGTGGACCGGACGTCTGTGAGCAGAATAAGCTTTTCTTCCTCTGGGTTGTTCACTGTCAGGCAGAACCGACTAACACACTGTGCTGAACTCCTAGTGTTGCCCACCCATGCTGTCAGCCCCTGCACTTTGGTTCTTCTGGGGGTCTTTTAAGCCTCCATGACCACATCAAATTGTCCACCCCAACAAGTCCCCTGGCTTGGGCAGGAAGATGGAGTTCATTTAGCCATTCTGAGTTTGAAGTGCCCAGGTGACACTTCTCACAGAGAGGCTGACCTGAAGATCACTGGAGGGGAGGGGGTTTCCTGGTGGAGGGGTGCTGTGCAGGCAGACAGACTGCGGGGGAGCGGCGTTGCTCCCTGTTGAGGGGCGGCCACAGCATCTCTCTTCCCTGGGGCTGTTGCTGCTGAAGCAGGGGGCAGAGCTGGAGTGTTAAGACAGAAGTCTTTGATGGCTCTGACAGACATTGTCCAGTACCTTTTAAGAAGAAAGCAAACTCACGTACTCTGTCATGGACTATGTGGGTACATCTGTTTTCCACGCCCTCTGTGACTTTGAGAATCAGTCGTATCTTGTCAGTATTTGTGACTCGGTGACCATAAGCGACCTTTGATGTTGGCGTCTTGCATTGGTTCCCCACGTCCTGTACCTTTCCTCTTCTGTGGTGTCGCTCTTGTCTTCCTGCAGATGGCCAGGTTGGCACTGTCCAGCAAGGCGCGTGCCCTTCCCTGATGGCTGTCTTTCAGTGAGATATGATTCCCGTGATGTGATCCACTGCTTTTTTTTTTTTTCTTTTTTGGTTCTAGGGACTGAACCCAGGGCCTTGTGCATGTGAGTGCAAGCACTCTAGCAGCTGAGCTATGTCCCCAGTCCCTAATCTACTGTTTTAAAGCACATGCTTCAGAGTCTTTTAGCACAGGCCCAGAGGTGCACCCCTTCTCCTCTGTTAAGCTCTGGACATTTTTATCATCGTGTGCTTGTTGACAGTTGTACCTGCCCACGCCGCCCCAGGCGGCTCTCTGTGGATCTGGGCTCCTGATAGGTTATGTAAATGGTCTTCTGTGACATGTAGCCCTTGTTGCAGCACCTGTTAATGCTTTCCTTCCTGGGTGAGTGCAGTCAGCTCTCCACACCCATAGAGTCTACTGAGTACAGACTGAAGGAACTTTGGGGAAAGTCGGTATCTGGTCTGAATGCAGACAGACCTCTTGCTCTTACCATTATTCCCTAAAGGGTAGGCTGTAGCCACTGTTTATGCAGTTTCATTGTTAGGTGTCACAGGTCACCTAACATGACTGAAAGTCTCCTGGAGGATGTGTGCAGTTCACATGCAAGTCCTACGCTTTTTTTTAATTTATATTTTTCTTTAGATGTAGATGGACACAATGACTTTATTTTATTTATTGATTGTTATGTGGTGCTGAGGATCAAACCCAGGGCCCCACATGTGCTAGGTGAGCACTCTACTGCCGAGCCCCAGCCCCAGCCCTCGCCCTCCTACGCCCTCTTGTAGGAAGGACTGCAGTGTCCATGAGAAGCCCCGGTCTCCTGGTTTGCTGGTCTGGGGCATCTGTGTGAGTCTGGTTGGGCCTTTTCCGCCTTCCAGGTGTCTGGAACATCCTTGGCACTGCTTTCGTGAGGCACTAGTGTATTTTATTTTATTATTTCTTAGTGGCTGCTGGTTCTGTGAATTTTCTGGCCATGGTCTTTGCTTTCTTTCCCTAGGAAGAAGAACAAGATTGTGAACTGGCAAGCAGATCCGAGGATGAGGCTGCCCAGCAGCAGCAGCCTCAGGTGACCTGCACGGCCTAGCCAGGGCTCTCGGCCATCACACACTGGGCATATGCTCAGCCATCCACACAAGGGCACTTGGGGTCTCGAGCTGGGAGGGGACTGCAGGTGGGGGAGACGCATCCCAGAGTGCATGGGCAGATGCCACAGCTTGCTGTGTTTCCATGTTTTCTGTGGGGGGGGCAGTTCCTTGGGGCAGGTGGAAGGGCAGCTAGGGGCCTGGGGAGGGCAGTCTGGCCTGTGCCAGGTCATATATGCGGAGCCCTGACTGCTTCTGCTGTGAATCGCTCTTACTTGTGAGGGAAGCCATGGGAGTGGCTGCTGGTGGGAGGCACACTGTGGGGACAGCTGCAGCCACAAGCGTGGAGAGCAGGTGGTTGTCCTCCTTGTGCTGCATGCTCCGTTTCCCTTGTCCTGGGTCCATCACGTGTTTCTTGGTGTCACCTTGCTGCCTGGTTCCAAGCCTAGACTCATGGGATGTGCCTCTGTCCCCAGACGGCACCCAGCCTGGAGCTGGAGGCGCTGCGCCTGAGCCTGAGCAACATGCACACGGTGCAGCTGGAGCTAACGCAGGCCAACCTGCAGAAGGAGAAGGAGTGCGCACTGGCTGAGCTGCGGGAGATGCTCAACGGGCGGCGTGCGCAGGAGCTGGCCCTGCTGCAGAGCAGGCTGCAGTGCGAGCTGGAGCTGGTCCGGGAGCAGCATGCGCGCGAGAAGGAGGCCATGGCACTCCGCTGTGGGCAGGAGACGGGTACGGCATGCTGGCGTGGGCAAGAGGGGGGTTCTGCACGTGGGGCCATTCCAGTATGCCTCCCGGCTGCTCTGGACTGCATGGTGTCCTCGTTAAGAAACGGCCTGCTTATTTTCTGGGTCGCTTCCCCTGTCCAGAGTGCAGGCTCCTGTCCCCATTCCCTGAAAGGCAGGGCCCCGGAGTGCGCACCCCCCACCCCCACCCCCAAGCCTGGCTCCTGACAGTTCCCACTGCTGTGGCTGAGCGGCGCCTGGGTCAGACGTCTCTTCACCTGGCCTTGGCAGCCCTGGTTCTGCTGCTCTCTCCCTCAGGGCAGTCTCCAGGGGGTGAGTGTTAATTTCGATGGTGGGATCTGCTGCCTCCAGGCTTTGTCAGCCCCACCCAGATGCCCCTGGTCTCAGACCCTGTCCTCCTATGCTGAGCTGACCATGATTCTCCTGGTTGGCGGTGCCACCCACTGGCTAACCTGGGTACTTCTTAAATTTGCTAATTCTTGGTCAAATTGAGCTCTTTTTTTGGCCTAATAAATGCTTTCATGTTTTATTTTTGATAATTTTTATGGTACTTTTTTTAAGAGGACCCTGCTTTCATGCATCTTTTTTTTTTAAACTTCATTTTTTTTAAACTTTAAAAAAATTTTGTTGTTGATAGACCTTTATTTTATTCATTTGTTTATATGTGGTGCTGAAAATAGAACCCAGTGCCTTACACATGCTAGGCAAGCACTCTGCCACCGAGCCGCAACACCAGCCCCCTTAACTTTTTTTTTTTTAATTATCTTCATTTTTATTTATTTATTCATTTTTATGCGGTGCTGGGGATTGAACCCAGGGCCTCACATGTGCGAGGCAGGCGCTCTACCACTGAGCTACAGCCCCAGCCCCCATGCACATCTTTTTTAAAGAGCTTTTTTGAGACATAATTGACACAGTGCACAATCCACTCGCTGGTGGCTTGGGGTGCATTTGCCAAGCTGTGCAGATGTTCCCACAGCTGCGGTTCACGTGTTCTCACTCCAGAAGGGAGCCGCAGGCCAGTGCTTGCGCTCCTGCTTGCCTGCTTGCCTTCCACTGGTGCAGGAACAGCATGTTCAGCTGTGGCTGTGTGGAGAGCCCCTGCCCCAGCCCGCCTCTCCCTCACTCTGAGGGGCAAGTTTTCTTAAGCTCTTGTGATGCTCTTTTGTTTCTTCATGTACTTTCAAGCAAACAAAGGTATATTTAAAATTTTCTCCTTATTTATTTATTTTGGTACCAGGGATTGAACTCAGGGGCACTCAACCACTGAGTCACATCCCAGCCCTATTCTGTATTTTATTTAGAGACAGGGTCTCACTGAGTTGCTTAGCACCTTGCCATTGCTGAGGCTGGCTTTGAACTCGCGATCTCCTGCCTCAGACTCCCATATTTTTCTCCCTTTTTTGGGAAACATAGCTTGTCTCTCAACCCTCTCTGGGCTGCTCTCTTTTCACCATTCCGGTCTGTATGGGCCCTGTCTATTCTCTGTCCAGGCCTGGGTTTCGGTGGCCCTCCTGGACACAGGGTGTTGTGAGTGTCCACTGTGTGGCCCATGGTGCTGGAGCCTTGTCTCCTGGGTGATGGATCTGGAGGTGAGACTCAGGGGTCTGAATGGCTTGTTGTCTGTCTCACAGCGGAGCTGAAAGAGAAGCTGCGGTCAGAAATGGAGAGAAGTGTGCAGATGGTTGAGGTGGGTGAGACTGCACAGCATGGGTCTGTGACCTTTGATGCTGAGGGACCCAGGGGAACTGGGCAGAGCGAGTAGTTGCCCTGTGTGAGGACAGCTGTGCTGTCGAGGGATGTGTGCTGTTTCACACTGATGTCTGTTGTTTCACACTGATGTCTGTGGTGCAAAGGTGCTTGTCACCCCTCCACCCTTGTCCTGGGCCACTATCCCTGTCCTCTTGGACTTGTGTCTGGCGGAGGAAGGGGAACATGGCCCGAGGTGTGGTATATCTGAATGTCAGGAGGCTGTGGAGTTGTGGGGGCAAGCCCCAGCCCCAGTGAGTTGAGGGGTTCCTCCTGAGTCCTGGCTTGCTCAGGCATTGGCCAGGGCTGTCCATTCAGGGTTGGGGTTCATGCCCTAGACTTCCACTCCTCTGACCTGGCAGTGGGGAGTTGTTTCTTAGGACGCTTGGACCAGAACCCAGCCCTTGGAAAGTTTGGCAAGTCACCATCAGATCCTGCATCTTGTAGGGACATAGCTTCACGAGCTTTCAAGAATGGCCACGCAATGCACTTTGAATTCAGGACCCATTTTGCTGGGGGCCAGGTGGCCCTGTTCTCTGGTCTCCAGCTGTCTGCCTTGTGCATGCTCCTGCTGTGTCCTTGCAGCAGCTGGTGGGTCACTGGCTGGCCATCAAGACCCATTTCCTGCAGTGACAGTTCAGTATGGGGTCAAGGGCTGCTCACTCTAGGGTTTTTTTTTTGGGTGGGGGGAGGGGTACCGGGGATTGAACTCAGGGGCCACCAACCACTGAGCCACATCCCTAGACCTATTTTGTGTTTTATTTAGAGACAGGGTCTCACTGAGTTGCTTAGCACCTCACAGTTGCCGAGGCTGCCTGTGAACTTGCAATCCTCCTGCCTCAGCGTCCTGAGCCGCTGGGATTACAGGCGTGCGCCACTGTGCCTGGCTCCACTCTAGTTTTTTGACAGTGTGATTGAACTTTCTTTACCACATATAATCAATTATTTACCATAATCTTCTTTTTCTTTTAAATTAGACCCTAAAACAAGACTGGGAATCTGAAAGAGAGTTATGCTTAGAAAATCTACGCAAAGAATTATCCGCAAAGCACCAGTCAGAAATGGAGGATTTGCAAAACCAGTTTCAGAAAGAATTGGCAGGACAGAGAGCTGAGTTGGAAAAGGTTTTTCAAGCTAAAAATCAGGCTGAAGGTGAGCATAGAAGTACTGTGAGCAGGTCTGGAGGGGCTGAGTTTCTGTGTGATATTAGACTCAGGATCTTGCAGCTCACCACATGGACCAAACACACTCTGCCACCTTTGGTTTCCAATGCCAGGTACTCCTGATGGCAGGTTGGGAGGCCTCCTTGCTGGCCACTGACCTCTGTCTCAAAGACATGTTTTGTGTGTTTATTTACTAAATTGATAGCAAAACAGTAGTATCTGGTAGTTGTGTGTTCTGCAGTGGTCCTTGTGGGCCGGGTAATGCTGCCTGTAGACCACCAAGTCTGTCTCTTCCTCCTTCCCGGGGAGAGCAGAGTGGCTGCTGAGACAGGGTGTGGACTGGGCCTGCAGGCTGTGGCGCAGCTTTGCCTTCCTGGCCACACCCCTGGCGTGGCACACTGTGCAGGAGAGCATGGGCCCAGGATGGAGCTCAGTGGCGTGCAGCGAGCCGAGCGGTTATCATCTCAGTGGTAACCTGCTGCCAGTGCCGCTGAGGAGGGAGAGTGGCATCTCCTTGAAAATGAGGTGGAATTCGTGCTGCCTTCTAGTCTCCCTGAAGGACCTGGAGGCTCAACACCAGGCAGCCATCAAGCAGTTATGCGAGGACCTGCAGGTGGAGCGCTGCCAGTGCCTGGAAGACCTGGAGTCGAGGTTCAGAGAGAGGGAGAGAGAAAAGCAGCTGGAGGTAGGCACGAGCTCACTCATTCGTAATTATTTCGTGTTCGGGAATTTAATTTTTTTTTTTAGTTGTCTGTAGACCTTTATTTATTTATGTGCGGCGCCGGCACCCGGTGCCTCACACATGCCAGGTGAGTGCGCTACCATGGAGCCACAGCCCCAGCCTTTAGAGAAGTTTTAAAAGGTTTTGTAACTGGGCCATTGTTCTGTTATTTGCTGAAACTTGAGTACTGACTTTGAGAAGACTTGCTGGGTGGAGGAGCAAGGGCAGAGTCTGAGGTTCATGTCGTCATTAACATTCTTGCCTTGTCCTTGGAAAGCGCACATTCTCTAGAAGTATACCTGAAATGTTAATAAAGGTCCCAAATGGTAATTCAGACATGTTGGCGTACATCTGTAATTCTCATGGCTTGGGAGGTTGAGGCAGGAGGATTGAAAGTTCAAGACCAGCCTTGGCAATTTAGCAAGACCTTCGGCAACTTATGAAGGCCCTGTTTCAAAATGAAAAATAAAAAGGGCTGGGATGTGGCTCAGTAGTAAAGCACCCCTGGGTTCAATTATAAGTATAAAAAAATAATAATAAAATAAATAAAAAGATACCAAACTCCAGGAGTAAGGCCATGTTCCCCAACTGTGATTCTATAAGCCAGAATTTCCTCCAATAGCTCCCCAAAGCATTCCTGCTTACTTGCTCCAGACCTGCTTCTGGTGCAGTCCTGCATGTCTTGTTTAAGGTACGGCCAGGGTACTCCAGCCTGAGTGCTTTCCTACCAAACCCAAGAGGTGAGGGTCAGTCCAAGACATTGAAAAGAGAGTAGAACAGAAGTTGGAATTGGTGGTGTGCAGAGGTGTGCAATCTGAGCAGGGGCAGCACGGGGCCCCGTGGTCTTCAGGAGCCTGCCTGGGCCCATCTCTGGACCTGAAGACCTGGTGTCTATATCCTTTGTTTCTGGGGTCCTGGTCTTGTCTTGGCTGCTAGGCTATCTCACAGTGATGGGGAGAAAGCCCATGAGCACCCCCTGGTCCTAATGCCATGAAGAGGATGGATCAACCTCAGGGCCAGTGCCTCTCTCACTACAGGCCATAGCTCAGGGGCCACATTCCTCTGTGGTTGCCCAGCTCCCTGTGGGGCTGCAGCCCACGAGACAGATGGTGAGGCTCATCCTTCCACCAGGCCGTCCTGGACTGGAGCCTGCCTTCCCTTTTGCCGTTCTTGCTCAGGGAGAAGACCCATCTGCTGGGAACAGGCCCAGGCCTGGGGTAACTGTAGAGGAAAGACGGCACTGCAGGGAGAGGGGCGGGAAGTCCGGAAGTCAGGCAGCCTGGCAGCAGTGTGCATGCTTGTCCTCCTTGGCGAGTGGACAGGCCCTTGTGTTGCTCGGAAGGCCTCTTGGGTCTCTGCTGGGACAGCCTGCCTGCTCTGTCTTGTAGCCGGACCACACAGAATGGTGCTGACATCCCACCAGGGTGCACTCGCTTTGGGCCTGGCAGTGTCACAGTGTGTCAGGATGCTCTTCGCCATCCCTGAGACCAGAGGGTCAGTCCATGGCAGGGCCTAGCCCTTCATGCTGTGCTTTATGGGCACTTGATAAGGTGAGGAGCAGCGTTTAGTGTCCGAGTGTGAGGTGACCTGCTTCTGTAATGTGAACTTGAGGAACACACACTCCTCATTTGAAGTGATGGTCCTGTGGGTAATGCTGCTTCCCCGGCCCTGCCTCACAACAGCGGCATCGCAAGCCCTTCCTGCAGGTCCCACCAGTGTCACGGGTGAGCCCCGTCCTGTGCCCAGAGGCTGCAGACAGCTTCACAGATGATGACTGTGTCTGGCCGTTATGGCTCTAGGCCAGCAGGCAGGTGACCACACTGTCCCCAGGGCATGGACATGCTGAAGTTATGCTGTGAACACTCACACCCAGAATTGAATGCTATCTTTCTTATTGCAAGTTGGGGTCTTGTTGTGCTGCCCCGGCTGGCCCTGGGCTCCTGGGCTTACGTGACCCTTCTCTCTGACTCTCCTGAGGAGCTGGGATTGCAGATGGCACCATCATGCCTGGCTGTTACTTTTAAGTGACTCTGACTCTGGCCTGGGCCTCGTTTGGATGAGGCTGCTCTGGCTGCTCCGTTCTGGCTGCTAGGTTTGGGGTGTAGGTCTCCATTCCACATGTGTCTGGCTCCTGCCCACCAGGTGCATGTAGCACAGACCACACATGGTGCACCTTGGTCTCCCGCGTTCCTCACAGGGATGCTTTCCTTTTCCAGCTGGAGAATCTTCAAGCGTCCTATGAAGCCCTGAAGGCCCAGTCACAAGAAGAAGTCAGGCGCCTGTGGTCCCAGCTTGAGTCTGTGAGAACCAACAGAGAGGAGCTGAATGGTGAGCAGGTTTTTTTTTTTTTTTAAATATTTACTTTTTAGTTGTAGTTGGACACAATATCTATGTTTTATTTATTTATTTTTATGTGGTGCTGGGGATCGAACCCAGGGCCTCACATGTGCTAAGCGAGTGCTCTACCGCTGAGCCGCAACCCCAGCCCTGGTGAGCAGTTTTGTGTAGGAAATTCAGACCCTCCAAAGTCAAAGCTGTGTGTGCTTTTCATTTTTTGCAGCGCTGGGAAAGGAAACCAGGGCCTTATGCTAGGTAAGCGCTCAACCACTGAGCCACACGGTGAGCCCTGAAGGCATGTTTTTCATTCTGAGAGTTTCATTTTTCATGAACTAGAATTTAGTAGTTGTAGCTAGCACAAAAAGTAATTTTTAAAATGTGCCCGTCCTATACAGTGTTCAGGGTTTGTGGAAGTCAGGCACAGGGATCGGCTTTGGTTGGGAATGAAGTGCACGAGCCTCTTGCTGGGTCGGACTGTCCCAGGTGGAGACCGAGAGTTGGGAGAGCCATGATTTTGTCCTTAGGCAAGTCAGCTGGCAGCAGCTGTGTGATTGTATGGCCCTAACGGTGCAGACTGGCATCATTATGGGCTGTCTCTCCAGTGTGAGGCGAAGTGCCTGTGGTGCTCAGCCTTCTCCTGGACGCTGCTGTAAACAGTGCCTTGCTGCTTACCTCACCGTGGTCCTGTGTGCCGCCTCTAGTGGCTCAAGCTCCAGAATTGAAGGGTTCAGGGCCCACCGGCGGTGGCGAGTTTGTCTGGGACAGCTTGGTCCTAGTCTTCCCTGATAGCCAAGTCCCTCCATTCACATCAGGTTGGTTTCTGCTCAGCTGTCTGAACGTCGCTGCCCCAGAGCAGGCAGAGCCACTTGTGCCCATAGGCAGGGACAGTCAGGCCCAGCTCAGGCCACCAGCATCCCAGGCCACAAGAGATATCTTCTTCTTGGAGTTCATCTGCCAACTGCCCCTAGGGCAGGTGGATCATGAGGAAGGACCAGGGCTGTGCTGTTGAGCAGCCGCCCTTTGCCATGCACTGGGAAGGGAGGCCTGGGCTTCGTCTCCCAGCCCCAAGTTCTGTCTGTGGCCACATGTGGTGGGCAGTGTGTCAGTTGTCCTTCCTTGGGTCTGTTTGTCACTGGAGGCTGGAGGAGAGAGAAGCTGATGGGACCAGAGGCCCCGCGGCTTCTGCACATGCTCTGCTCCTTCTTGCTCAGCTGCAGATCTTCCTTCATACCGAGGCCCCCAGGAGGGAGCCCTGGGTGGTGACTGAGTCCGCACTGGGGCAGCCTGCAGTGCCCAGGACTGTAGTTCTCGTGTGGGCATATGTTGAGAGCCACAGCCGAGTTGGTATGGCCCTGGCATATTACCAGAAGGAGTGGTTGAGAGGTGACGCCAGCGAGCCATGAAGATGATGATAATGAAGTTAAGCTGTGCATAATTGCTGTGACTGGATGATGCTGGTTGGAACAGGCTGTCTATTCAGTTGTAAATGGACCCCTGCTGTCCTGCAATAGGGCGGCTCCTGCTGCCTCGGGTCCCGCCCCGTTGAGTTCCGGTTGAGCTCTCCCGGGGGATTCATGGAGAGTTCCATTGGTTGGTGAGGGTCCGGTGGAGGGAGTTGCGGTTGGTGGGTGGTGTTCCCGGGAGTTCGGGCAATAAAGGAATTCCTGTTTGAACCTACAAGTGCCTCGTGGCGGCTCAGTTATTTTGTGCCCAGCCAGACTGCGGCAGTCATAGTGTGCCCTGATCAGTCAGGAGTTCTGCGAGGTCTGAAGGGCACGTCTGGCTCTCTGGCCAGGGGCGCCCACAGGTGAAACCCAGCTCTCTTTGGCTACACACCTCCCCAAACCCACTTCTAGGCTTCTTGGGGTTGTGCAGGATCCAGGTTCTCGTGGACGTAGGACTGACACTCGTTCCTTTCCTTGGTAGCTGTTGGTGGGCCCATGCTCCCTGCCACAGTGGGTCTCTTTGGCTCCTGGACCAGCAGCTGGAGAAAGGGCTGCCTTTCAGGGGCTCTCGAGGGGCTGAGCAGCCCTGCGAGGGCCCCCTTCCACTCCCAGGTCCGGGCTGGGCCCCTCTCAGAGTCTGCTCTGCTGCCCCTGACTGTGTGCCTCTTCCTGTGGAAGGGCCCCTGGAGCCACTGCTGACGCGAGCCTCCTGCCTGGAGGAGCTGGAGCACCTGCGGCAAGGCTTTGCTCAGCAGCAGCAGCGAGACCGCAGCCAGCATGAGTCTGAGCTGCAGCAGCTACGGGTCTACTTTGAGAAGAAGTTGAGGGATGCTGAGAAGACTTACCAGGAGGACCTGACCCTGTTCCAGCAGCAGCTGCAGGAGGCCAAGGAGGAGCCCCCTTTGGGGTCTGGTGAAGTCAGGTACAGAGGAAGCAGGCGTTATTGGGAATGGTTCTGCCGTGGGACCTTGGGCTGGTTCCCATCCCTTGTTTGCCATCTATGCCAGTAGAGACTGGTGGACTTGTTTTAGAAGTGGGCTCTGTGGTCTGGACTGGAAGTGAGATGCCCCCCGTGGGTCCCTGGCTGCTGGCTCCTGCTGTGGTCCCAGGATGCTGACTGAGCCAAAGGCAGACCTGGTCATCCCATCCTTAACCAAGGCCTCTGCTTTTGCACCTGGCCCAGGGAGAGTGGGTGGGTGCAGCTGAATGGTCACGTGTGAAGCTTTTAAACATATTTTTTTTCTTAGTTCATCCTGTACATTTTTAGAAGAGATGTCTTACGGAAAAAGAAAAGAACACTCTGATCAACTTGACCTTCGTCTTGAGCGGCAGAAGGTGATGGGCTTTGTTTTGATTGCTGAGCAAGGGTTGTGGTCACTAATCTGTAATTTAGAAGTAACTGTGCTGGGTGTGGTGGTGCACACCTGTAATCCCATGGCTCCGGAGGCTGAGGCAAGAGGATCATGAGTTGGAGACCAGCCTCAGCAAAAGCAAGGTGCTAAGCAACTCAGTGAGACCCTGTCTCTAGGTAAAATACAAAATAGGGGTGGGGATGTGGCTCAGTGGTCAAGTACCTCTGAATTGCTGTCTGCCATGGTGCAGTGATCCAACCAGGGAGGGCTGCTCTCCTGAGGAGCACCTCTGTTGGCCACGGGTCCAGGCTGAGGGTCCCCCCTTCGCACTCTGGCAGCTCCATCCTGGCTGAGAGGCTGCCCCTGGCCCCCTCCCCTCAGTCACTGGCTGACGTGCATTGATAGTCCAGGGGCTGTGCAGTTGTGTTTGGCTTTGAGTTTTGTCCAGAACATCTTTCTGTCAACCTGTACGTTTCCTCTTCCTCCAGTTACCTCCATGCCGTAGTTTCCTGTCATTCTTTTGCTATTTCTTGCTTGTGACACTTTTTAACACTTGTGGCTAGTCTAGTAGAAGGGCCAGGAAGGGACCAGTTGAGAGACACCTCGACATGTTGATGGCTGTTGATGGCTGCACCAGGTTTTCCTGGGTGTGCAGTCTCCTGCAGCCCTGGGACCCACTGTGCTAGGCAGTGCAGCCCTCAGCACTAGTGCTCTGCCTCTGAGTCCTGGGTTGTTGGGTCAACAGTGGCTTGGGGCTGCCATGACAGAGCACACCACCTGCCGCAGGAACAATAGAGACTCATTCTGTTACAGCCACAGGTCTCATGGCCTGGCCCTTTGAGGCCCTTCTCCCTGGCTTATAGGTGGTGTCTTCTCCCTGAGTCCTCACATGGTGGTCCCTCTCGTGGTCTGTGTCCTGGTCTCCTCTCATGAGCACGCCTGTCTGTTGGATTAGGGAATGCCCTAGTGACCTCACTTAATCTTGACATTTGCCTGTGAAGGTCCTGGGATCAGGACCTCAGCGAACGAATCTGGTAGGGGACCCGCGCAGTCGTCTCCAGCCCTCAGGCTGTCACCCACATGGCTGTGAACGACGGCCTTTCCCGAGTGTCCCCCTCTTCCCATCAGTGTGCAGGTGGGCAAGCAGGGCAGGCCACACCAGCTGCAGGGAAGCTCCACGCAGCCCCCCTGGTTTTCTGGTGCCCTAGCATAGCTGCACCTCAGCTCAGCACGCTCTGTCTCCCGGGCGCTATTCTCTGCGGCTCCTGGGGGCCCTTCCCTCCAACTTGTCCTACACCCCTGGCTGCCTGGGAACCATGCTTTTGCCTGCGCCTCCTGCCTCAGGTTGCTGTTGTGTTCCCTTCATGGGTGTGTGAGGGTGGCTGTGCCACACTCTGCTCGGTCACATTTAAGCTGGTGTCACTATCACAGTCTGACTGTGACCTCTTTCTTGGCCGCCCATGGCTCTCAGGCTGGCACCTATGATCTGTAGCCTTTGTCTCCATCTGTCTGCACCTGCTTTGCACACTGGGGACCTGGGAGTGGGGGGCGGCTTTTGAAGCTCAGGATCTTGCTCTGCCTGCTGTGTGTGCGAGGGCTGCTGAATACCTAAGTCCCCGGTTCTGTCGCTGCCATAGCCCCTGCAAGGCTCATGCTCCTCCAGAACGGGTCCTGTGTGCTCAGGCTGCTCTGGGTGGGAGGTTCTGTCTGTCGTCGACCCTGGTCATTCAGGAACGTTTCCTATCTCCATCATGGTTTTCAGTCTCTGGCTTTGCTGTCTGTGTTTCTCTGTCCTCTTGTTCCAGCATTGTGGATAGGAGGCTTCTGCTCACCTCTTGAAGACCACCCTGGGTGTCCAGGGCGTTCTGTGTTCTGTGCCATCTGTTACGTTTCTGCCCAGGTCTCTGTGCTGTCAGAGGTGGGTGTTCTGTGCAGGTTGGTGACCTATAGCCGGCTCCCTTCCTGCTCTGTGTGTGACTTGAAACTTCCTCCTTGTGGAGGACACAGAACATGTCCTTGTCCAGTGTCTGAGGAAGTCTGGCATGGGGCTCTGGAGAGCTCTGCAGACACCATGGAGGTGGGTCAGGTGTCCCATGTGGCTCGTGGTGTGGGCGACACAACAAAGGGAAACAGAGCCTTCACCAGAGTAGGGTTCTTTGAGGAGGAGTGGGGATCGGCAGCAGGGAGGTGCCCGAGTCCCGAGAGGTGGATGCCCAAGAAGTTGTCGAGGGAGTGGTGGGAGAAGGTGAGCCGAGCCTCTGGAGGGAGGTGCCAGGGAAGGGACACAGTGGCATTTGGCCTGCAGCTGGCTCTCAGACCTTGGTCAGGCTCCCGCGTTGGCTCTCTGGGCCCCTGGGTGGGTGCTGAGTGCCAGGCGTGGTGTGCTGAGGTCTCACTGCTGTTGCAGCAGGGCATAGTAGTCAGGACCTAGGAGAGTCCCCGGTGCGAGATCTGAGGTTCAGGAGAGCTGGGAGCCTGTGCAGGCCCCTCCCTCCTGGGCACTCCTTGGGCACTCCTTGGGCACTATGGAAGGAGAACCACAACCGTGCTCTTCGTGACCTCAATTCTTTTGGGTGGAGGGGACGTTTTAGGAGTGCCCTGCCTGAGTCCACTCCTGGCTCTTGGGTGACAGTGGATCATGTCAGGTCCTAGGCCTCTACTGCACTTATTTTCCCCGGAGCGTCTAAGCAAGGGCTCTCGGGGAGAGGAGGTGTTTGCAGTGACATTAACTCTTGGTCTCCTGGCCTGGTTGTTGGGTCCTGATTAGAACTTGTTTTACAGAATCCTGGTCACCCGTGGGCTTTGGTCTCCTGCTTTTCCAGGGACTCAGGGTCGTGTGACAGCTGTGAGTGTTATGGCCATGCTGTGTCTGCCAGGCTACCTCTGGTCAACATTGTTTGTGCAGGGTCTTGTTCCAGATGTTCTGACAGGCATTTGCCCTCCCTTGTCTCGTCTGACCTCGTGGAGCCGATGGCAGGACTGCTGTGGACTGGTCCACTGCACTAAGCCTTCTTCAAGCCCCAACCCCCTGGTGTCCGCCTGCTGCCTGATGCTCAGGGGAGGGAGTCTTCTGATTCCACAGCACACACCTGGTGGCGCATGTTGTCCTCAGGCTGCAGCTTCTCCAGGCTGTGCTGGACAGTGATGGAGGGGGAGGGGCAGCTGGACACACCTGTGTCTTGGTGAGGTGCACGGGGTTGCCTGTGTGGTCACTCATTCTGGCAGGGCATTCACCATTTCTTTGAACACAGAAGCCAGTGCCTTCAGTGGTACCAACAGCAAGTGAGGTGCCCAGGCTCAGCATGTCTGTCCTGCGTGGTTTACAGATGGGGCCAGCGTGGGATTCCTCCCTGCACGTCCAGCATGAGGACCAGTTGGACAGATGCCTCCTGGGACCTGAGGTGTTGGAGCTAGAGCCACTCCAAGCTGTGCCTTCAGACCAGCACAGCCAAGGTGCGCCTGTCTCCTTGTCCTTGCCCTGCTGCAAGCTGGACCTGCACGGGTGTCCTGTCCATGTACACCATTCAGGATGGATTTCATGGCCACGTCTGCTGAAGCTGGACCATGAGCCTTGCACCTGGAAGTGCACCCCAAGCCAGTCCTGAGGCGCAGGTTAAATCTGGCAGGCTGGCCTGGGTGGGAGCCTGTGCTCCTGGCCCAGCCCGTTCTAGGTGGCTCTCTCTCCAGGCAGGAGCAGGTCTGCCTGTGGCAGTACCCTGGGGTCACAGGTTGCTGGGTCGTAGGAGGGGAACTTTCCTGGGATCCTGCTGTGCTCCTGTCAGACTGGTAGACCAAGCCCGCAGTGTGTCCAGGCAGAGCAAGGGGTGGGTTGTGGGGTTATTGGGAGGTGGCAGGACAGGGAACCCTGCTCATCTCAGAGGCGTGGTGATGGACCTGGACAGTGGCCACTGACAGGGATCCCAGGAAGGTGGGCAGCCGAGGGCAGCTAGTGAGAGACATGATAGTGGTGCCACTCTAGCCCCACCCTGCCCTGGGCACTGCAGTCTTCCTAGTAGAGGGGAAGAGGCCAGGGCCGAGGGGCCCCGTGAAGGAGTGGGAGGGTCAGGTTCCACGCTGGGTGCTGTGGCAAGAGCCCATCTTTTTTTTTTTTTTTTTAGTTTGTTTTAATTAGTTATACATGATAGTACAATGACTTTGATATATCATATATTTGAATCAGATGGGATATAATTTCTCACTTTTCTGAGTGTACAGGTTGCAGAATCAAGAGCCCATCTTTTGGCTAAGAGCATACTTGGGGCTGGAGGGGGAAAGTCTTGAGGAGCAAAGCCCCAAACACAGCCTCAGACACACCCTCCGCCCTCCTCTTGTCCTTCCTGCATCGGGGTGCCTCCGCAGCTGCCAGGGTGTCTTCTCACAGGCTTTGGTGGTGTTCCGTGTTTGCCCTGTGACATGTCTTGTTCTCACTCTGACTGTACCTGTGTTTCCCTCTTCTGTAGAGGGTGACCTGGGTCTGGCAGTGAGGAGGCAGTGTGCCCAGCACTCACAGTCCCAGCCCTCTGGCCTCATGCCCTCAATCCCTGTCCTGTGTTGAGCCGTGGCAGGTTTTACACCCCTCCTGATCTGCAGGAGTATCTTGGGCAGGCAGGGTATGCCTGCAATAGGGTACAGCTGTGCCCCCAGGGTGGGCATGGAGAAAACCACGCCCCATCCTGAGTTAGCACCAGGACCTTTGCCTGGTCTGTGCACAGCCGGTGTCAGTGAAGTGCACTTTTGCTGGCACTGCCTGTGGGTGGGCCATGGTGCGTGACTGCTTACTTCCCTCCTTGTTCCACAGAGACCGAACAGGTACATCACCAGTGTGTGCAGGATGTGACCTTGAAGGAGGACATGCAGGTTGCCGCCAGAGTTCTGGCTTTGGAAGCTGAGCACAAGGTCAGACTGTCTCTTCTACAGACTGAACTCAAGGAACAAATCGAACTCTTAAAAATAGAAAACAGAAACTTACAGGAGAAGTTGCAGCACGAGACCCGTCTGAAAGAGGATCTGGAGAGTGTGAGTAGTGGCCAACACAGGCGCATGGCCCATATGGGCACAGGAGGTCCTGGGGCTCAGAGTGTGGTGTCTGTGCATTGACCACAAAACCTTGAGATTGGCCCTTGCAGTGAAGTGCCAGCAGTGGTTTCTAAGATGGGGCTCATTATGGTAAGAGAGCACCCCAGCCTGTGTCGGCACAGGTCTTGACTCCTTCAGAGACTGGTCGGTGTCCTCGGGCTACTGGAAGAGGGACCTGCCACTTCTGTCATCTAGCTCGTGTCTTAAGTCTCTAGGCTCTTCCTGGTGATGGTTGCAACGGTGCAGAGCCTGCATTCCCAGCCCCTTCCTAGCCACAGTTGAGTGTGGACAGCAACTGAGGGGCATTGTTACCCAACCAGTGTAGGCCCAGGCCTTGCAGCCGTGCTTAAATGCAGATGAAAGTGCATGTGCAGAAACTCCTCTGTCTTTGCATGTGTGTATTGGCTAAACTCTTCTCAGTTCATGCTCGTGACCGGATGTGACCACTTGTCTGCTGTGCCCTCTGCTTCACCCCTTTGTTCGCCCCTACAAGCATCTCTGTGGGTTTTCATCTTCATCAGAAGAGCTTGGAGGAAGCTGTTTCTGTTGTGAGTTTTCCTGGGCTGCTGTTGACATCGAGGCCCTGTAAGGATGTGGACCAGGGTAGGGCTAAGGGCGACCTGTGGGGAGCCCCGTGGGCGTAGAAGCTGTTGCCCCGGGACAGGCCTTCCTGAGCGCTTTTCCCAGGCCACTGCTGTCTGTGATCACCAGTCACCAGAAAAGGGAGGTGGGACTATCTGTCTCTCTTCCTCGTCTGTTAGCTCTCACTCTAAGTACCTGGAAGCTGTGTTGCGTGTGCTTGTGCTGTGGAGTCTTCCTGGGCAGCAGCCCTTTGGTCGCCGCGGCACTTGTCTTGGAGCCGTGTCTGCAGATGCAGACTTGCTGACCTTGTGCGTTTTGAGTCCATCATTTTGCCTTCTCTCCCAAGGCCCCTGGGCCTCCTGCAGACCTGTGCCGGCAGTGAGGTCTGTGAGGCTGGAGCGGTGGTTGGCGTGGTGGGCTAGCCCCTTCGTTGCCTTCTACGTGTGTTCTTCTTGTTTTTCATTCCTCTCCTCCTTTTTTCTCACTTTTGGAATTATTTGAGTTTTTGCTGGATAGATCTTAACGTATCTGTTGGCTTTTGCGTTACAGTTCTCTGCCCTGTTTTCCACGTTTGCTCAAGAGATGAGTTCACAGTAGAATCCATAGGATACCATTTCACAGAAGCTGTAAGATTTCGTCATTGTGTAGATGTATCTTTCACCTCCTCTTTGTAGTACATTTTAACAGTTCTGCATCCCCCTATGTTGTAAAATCCACCATACTACATGTAGGATTTACTTTGAAAAGTCATATATTTGAGAGAAATACATCTCCATCTTGGACTTTTATACCATTTCTGGAGTCCTTCATTTCCTCCCAAGGATCTGAGTTTATCTTCAGTTGTAGAGTTTCCTTTAGCATTTCTTGCTATGCTTGCTGCAAAAGATTTCTTTTATTTAAAAAAGTCTTTATTTCACATTCATTCCTTAAGTTGTAGATGGACACAATGCCTTTACTTTATTTACTTCTAATGTGGTGCTGAGGATTGAACCCAGTGCCTCACACGTGCCAGGCAAGTGCTTTACTACTAGCCACAACCCTAGCCCTCACCTTCATTCTTGAAGAATATTTTTTGCTACATAAAAATGTCTGGGATGACAGATTTTTTTTGGTCCGATGTTGTTAGACTCTTTTCTGCTGGTTTCATTGTCTGTGTCCTCTTGGGCTGGTCTCCATTGGTTGTGTTTTCTTTGCACCCTGGGTCATATGTTCCTGTGTGTTTGTGTATCAGCTAATTTGAGCTGTATCCTGGACGTTGTGCATGTTGTGTGAAGACTCTGGGTTCCGCTAGGATCTGTTGAAGTCTTGTTTGCTTCAGCAGGCAAGCGTGGCCAAATTGGACTCACTGTGTCCGTCTCCTCTGTGTTGGACCAAGCATGGTGTGCTCAGTTCTTTTGGCTTTAGCTGGCCTGTTTTGGAGTCAGCCTGTGCCCATGTCCATCAGGGCTCAGCCTGAGATTTGGGCAGCGGCTGGCTCTTCCTAAGAGCTTCCCCTCACTCTCCTGTTTTGGCACACACAGGTAAGGCGATGGGAGTTCCTGGGTAGGGTATCTTGGCTCCTGCTGCCAGCCTGAAGCCTTGGAAGGAAGACAGCCTGGTGCCCTTCCTTCTGCGTGTGGGCCCACTGCTTCCTCAGCTCTCTACAGGCCTTGTGTGGTCACCAGCACTTGCTCAGTTTACAGTTGCTGTCCCTGGGAGGTTGATCTGACCGGAGCTGCTCAGCCATGGCCAGGACCAGGCCTAGACTTTATTTTTTATCATTTTTAAGTGAGAAGTTGAGGTCAGCCTTTTATACCTTATTTTGGTTTGGGTTTGTTTCTTGTTGATGACATTTAGTGCTTTATTGACCTGCTTTCTTCCTTTTCAAATCTGGAATGTGTGCCTGTGCTCAGCTTTCTCGTTTATCTGCCTGCGTACAAAATCACTTCAGGGTTACCCGTTTAACTCGGTGAAGATCAGGAATGTGGACCTCATGACTGTCTGCTCGTCTCTCTGGGACCTCCCATCTTCCTGCTGTGGGAGTCTCTCTTGGGTCATGGTGGAGGAGCCTCCAGCCCTGGCTCTGCTACAGCCATGTGTCCCTGGGTTGGCTTTTATTGAAGCCAGGGGACAGTGTTGAGTGAGCCCGTCTTGGGCCCCTGCCACTGGCATTGCTGTGCTCAGCATATCACCTGTGCTGGAAAAGTTCCCTCTTCAGAGATGGGTTTCAGTCATTGCTTCTGAAAAGTCTTTCCCTTTAATTTTTTTCCTCTTAAATAAGATTATGCTTCTCTAGGTAAAACGTAGTTTGTTAGAAGACCACCAGGAAGAACTAAATAAAGCTGAGCAGAAGGTTCAGCTACTGAAACAAGAGTTCAGACACAAAGAAGTGGAGTGGGAGCTTTTACGCGAGGACCTGAGGAGAGAAGCTGAGGAGAACTTAGCCTCAATGTGCCGTGAGCTAAAAGAAAAGGCCGAGTCTGAGAAGCAGTCTGCTGTGAGCAGGTTTGAGCGTCGGGAAGCTGGGATGAGGCACCTGCAGGACCAGCAGGCCGCACAGATCCTGGCCCTGGAGAAGTCCCTGGCGGAGCAGCAGGGCCGCCTGCGGCAGCTGGAACAGGCCCTTGCTGGGGACCAGGCTCTGCCCTGCCATGGGTGCAGCCAGGACCCCCCTGTAGCTTCGGACGGGCAGCGTGGCACACTCCTCGAGGGGAAGGAAGAGTGTGCCCTTCAACTGATGCAGGCTCGGAACAGGTGGGTGACTCGGGCTGTCGGGTGGTATGCAGCTGTCTCCAAGGTGCCAGGCAGGCTGAGGGAGGCCCTGGGAGGATGGAAGCCCAGTGGGTGCTCAGCCAGGTGGGAGGATGGGAGCCGGAGGGGGTGTGATGCCCAAGTCTCACTCTAAAGCAGCAGGGCACCTTTGGGCCCCATAACAGATGTGTGGTGACGGGTTGGGGTCCTCCCATGGAGGCTGCACTCCTTGTGTGACATTAGTGCACATATACCTTTCGTGCCTCTGTGTGTTTTGACATTTCAGCAGCAGCCAGGTGTGGTGGTGCATGCCTGTAATGGAAGGCGTGGCAGGAGGATGTCAAGTACGAGGGCAAGACCCTGTCTTAAAACAATATGTCAAGGGCTGGGGTGCAGCTTAGTGGTGGAGTGCCCCTGGGTGCCACACCCAATCCTGGAAAAAAGACACAAAACAGCACTAAACCTGCCCCACCCACAAGGCAGGCAGGTTACCCACATGACTGACTGGGTTTTACGCGTACAGTTTTTTTTTTTTTTTTTTTAATATTTATTTTTTTAGTTGGACACGATATCTTTATTTATTTATTTTTATGTGGTGCTGAGGATTGAGCCCAGGGCCTTGCATGTGCTAGGCGAGCATTTACTGCCGAGCCCCGGCCCTAGCCCTAGGTTGTTTACTTTTTTTTTTTATTTTTTAGTTATACATGAACACAATATATTTATTTTGTATATTTATTTTTATGTGGTGCTGAGGATCGAACCCAGTGCCTCACATGCAAGAAGCAAGCTCTCTGCCACTGAGCCACAACCCCAGTCCTTACGTGTACGGTTTTAAATACTTTTTCTAAAACCTTCACTTGCCTAAAGTTTTAGAGAGGTTCAGAGCCCGCCTAGGTCCTTTCCTTTTGTGCACCTCAGTCCTTGCTCTGGTGGCCCCAGTGTCCTTGGTAAGGGGCCGTTGGGCCTGGTGCTGGCTCTGCCCAGCATGTCCCTCCTTCCTTGTCAGCTCTCTCGTGCCACAGGTGTGCGAGAGTTACGCTTTAGGCCCCCAACTTGAGTTCAGCCCAGACCCGCCACATTGGGCTAACGTCCAGCCCCACAGGACCTCTGTGTCTATGTTATGGAGGGCAGTCTGTGGAAGCCCCTGGACATTCATAGCGCCCAGGGGGGCAGTGCCTGTCTTCCACTGAACATGGTGGAATGCACCGTGAGTGGAGCCGTGCCCACAGCGCAGCTCGGTGCTTGTGGTTCCAGGTTCCTCCTGGCTCCTGATGAGATTCTGCTCCTCCTTAGAAGCTGGTTTCACTGCCCATCTGGCTTCTTACTGCTCTTTCTCAGGCGCTTGTGCTACTTTGCGACCCTGTGAACTTGCTTCCCTTTCGAGGGTCAGGTGGCCCAGGCTGGGAGTTAGGGGCCTTGAAGAGCGACTGGGGTGTCTACCCTGCTTGGTCCTCAGAGACGTGTGTACAGTCTCCCTGTGGGTGCTGTGTCCTTCCTGCTGCCTGAGCCCTGGCGACTCCCCTGGCTCTCCCCTGAGGACAGTTAGAGGTCAGGGCCGAGGTTCTGAACAACCGAGGTCAAGGGGAAAACGTGGCTCAGGGCTTGCAGGGGCCAGTGCAGCATGGTCATGGGCCCTGCCGCCCCCGCTCACCTGGGATGATGTTGCCTCAGGTTTTTGGAGGAGCGTAAAGAGATCATGGAGAAGTTTGCTGCGGACCAAGATGCTGTCCTGCGGGACGCTCAGGAGAAGCACGCCCACGAGCTGCAGCTTCTGCAGCAGGGACACCAGCAGCAGCTTCTGGCCTTGAGGACAGAACTTGAGAGCAGGCACCAGGTGGAGCTGGCCGAGCTGGCGGCCACCCTGCAGAGGGAGCAGCAGGTGCTCCTCGAGGCTCGCGTGGCCGAGCTGCAGACGAAACACGCTGCGGAAGTCAGTGCTCTGGAAAGGAGGCATTCGTCAAGCCTGGATGCTCTGGAATCCTGCTGCACGTCTGGGGTTCAGGCCATTCAGGACCAGCACAGGCAGGCTCTGCAGCTTCTGCGAGCAGAGCTTGAGGAACAGCTGCAGACACAGGGCTCTTCTCACCAAGCAGTGTTGGCTCAGGAGTCGGAGACACTTAAGCTAAAACACGAGAAGGAGCTCCAGTCCGCCAAGGACAGCCTGAGAGCGGAAATGCGCGCCGAACACACAGAGCAGCTGAAAGCCCTGGCCATGCAGCTCCAGGGTGCGCACCAGGTGAGGCCTGGCCCTCGGCCCCGCACTCGTGTTAAAGGCTCTCGCCCCATTTCAAGAGCCATGCTGGTCCTTTAGTCAGGCAGTTGGGTTCTGGTACAAAGGAGTTTGTAGGGAAGTCCCTTTGCCCTAGACGTGCAGCCCTGGCCCTGCGGTCAAGGGCGAGGACCTGTAACCTTCCTACTGCAGAGCTTTGCACTTCCTCTGCTCTCCTCAGCCTGGGGACTTCGCCTCCCTGAATGGGCACGGCTGCTGTTTGTGCTACGAGTGGCTCCTGGGATGCCAGGCCTTGGGCAGATGGCATGCCAGGGCAGTCTCCCTACTTGGGAGGGTGGGTGCACTTGGTCTCAGCATCCACACTGGTCCAGGAGGATGGAGCTGGGCCTTCTCTGGGTTGAATTCAGAGAGCAGTCTGATGCCACGGGATGTGCCTCGGCAGGTGCCTGCCCTTGTGAGCACTCTTCCACTCTGTCAAAGGCAGGTAGATGCTGGGCGGGTTCAGTGGTTCCTGGGCATGGATTTAAACCTGTAGGTCTTGGTCCGTTGACTTATGGATGTAGTGTTCTAGCAGACTATTCAGAAAGCAGAACCGTACCACTTGATTGGTGGCAGAGTTTGGTGGTAGAAAGCATGTGGAAAGTTAATTGCTCTGTGCACCTGGCAAGGCTGTGGGGGGTGTGCAGGGCCCTGGGTGGGTGTGCTGGGGCACACCACCTGCGGATGGAGGAGGAGACCTTCTGGAGGAGGAGAGGGTAGTGGCGTGGGGCAAGCTGGGTGCTGAGGCTGTGCTCCTGGAGCACCACACCAGACGGCCCTGCAGCAGCTGGGGGACACACATGCAGCCCTGGCTGAGGTGCAGCCTCAGTGAGCAGAGCAGGCTGGGCTAGGGGAGCAGACTGAGCAGGTGAGTGCCGCATGCAGCTCCCAGGGCCTCTGAGTCTCCACCAGAGCTCCACAGCCCCTGCTCGTGGGTGCTAGGGTGTCTGCTCCAGGGTCAGCTCTATTGGGAGCAGAGCCCACTGAGACGCACTGGAGCTGATGCCTCTGTGGGGTGGGCTGCTAGCCGTATCCTTGCAGTCTCTGCAGGGCAGAGCCCTGGTGTGGGCCTGGAGGGCAGCAGGTGGCTCCTGGGTGTTGATATTCTGGCAGCTGGACACAAAAGGGGTTGATGGGACTGCTGACCTAGGCAAGTGTTGACCCAAGCCCGGGGAGACATGGCCCTGGGGTGAATGGCCAGGGTGTTGGTGTCTGCTGGACTGGCTGACGGTGGTAGTGGTGCATGGAACCTGGGGGTGATGGGGAGGTCACGGTCTCTGTGTTGGTGCCATTTCTGTGAGGATGTCGAGGGTGAGGTGAGTGAGCTGCACAGAGTTGTGACTTTTGCCCACACAGCAGGATGGGGTTTTTGAAGTGTGCACCCAGCGTGGCGCCTTCAGGCTACATGTCCACATGAGTGTTTTGTCAGGTGCTGTGGTGGAAGTCTGACCATGCAGTTGGAGCCTCTCTTGGACTTCGGAGGCAGCTATGGAAGGCCTGGCTGGGTCCCTGGGACCTGGGTGGCCCTGAGCCTCAGCTCCCTCTCACTTCAGATTTGCACTGTGCTCTTGAAGAGAAACCTGTGAGCAGGGACCAGATGTAGTGGGAATATAGCAGCTTGTCAGGAAGGAGAGCCCTCAGGAGGAGGGGAGAAGAAAGCCCTGTGGGAGGCGGCTCTTTGCTTCACCAGTTTTGTGAGGGAGGCCTGGAGGAGATTATTTGAGGGTCCTGCCCAAAAACACCATCTCTTGGCTCCAGACAGACAGCCTCCATTAGAGGTGCTGAACCTCTGCTGTGCCTGCTTTCACCCACAAGTCACTGTGACACCCAGGACCGGCAGGGGAAGCACAGTTACATTGACATCGAGGAGCTTCACCAACAATCAGGGCAACACCTGTCACCCTAGCCTGGCTGACAGGTCCCAGTTGCAACTTGTTTCACAGAATTGTGTGGTTGGTGTGCTTTGATGTGAACCACACAGCGTTCCTGGGGACTTGGGGTCTTATGACAGTGTGGGTGTTGTGGTCGTGGGATGCCTTAGGCCTCAGTCTGGTCAGCATAGGACACTCCAGCAGTTATGCCTTTTTGAACTAGTGTACTCTCGCTGCTTGGTCTTGCTGAGTCCTCTGTCCCTCTCCCATTGCATGGGGAAGAGTTGTTAGAGTGGAGGCCAGGAAGGGGTCCTGAAGTGGCTGTCCTGTCAGACCCTGCAGTGCCACTGAGGCAGGGCTTTTGGTCAACTGGTTTGTTTTGAAGTATTTTCTTTTTCCTTTTTTTTTGAGAAAAAGGAAAAAAAAAAAGTCTTACTGTATTGCTAGCAGAGGAGAAACACAGACAGGGGGCTTCTGTCCCGGAGGCTGTGATTCTTCCCATCAGGGGGAATAGGGGGCTTTTGAGAGGTGAATCTGTTGCAGGAAGCAGACCTATCAAGGATCCAGTCTTTGGGCCCAGAGGAGATCAAACTCCAGATCAGGAAACATGTTTGCAAAAGCAGAGAATAATGAGGGAGAGACATACTCTTCTCACAGGCCTCAATAAATCTCTAGCCTGTATCTGAAGCCTCCACAGAGGTACTTACACTTCAAAGGGAGTTGTCAAGACTCACGGGGTGGGAAACTAACCCTTTCCCCAGGCACCAGTTTTTCTCAATGATGTTCTTATGACTTTATTTTACAACTAGATCTGGTTCTGCCATCACAGATCAAAGGCTACATTCCACTTGTTGTTCTTTCAGGGTTGTAATTCACTTGTTAATTTGGGATAGAGTTATCTGAGATTTTCTGATACCCTCCCTAAAGTCTAGATAACTTTGTTCGTATGGGGGGGGCGCATACTCAGGGATAGATAACTTTGCCTGGGATGGGAGAAAAGGTGATTCCATTTCCCTGGAGATTAGGGAGGAGAGGGCGAGAGGAAGAGAAAGAAACAGGTCCATTTAAAAAATAAGCTGCAGTGGCAGAGCAGTAAGGGCTCATTCAAAGCCCAAAGTGGACACTTGCATTTCCCCACTGTCAGTTTCTACATTCCTTTTCTATGGGGAAAATGGGCCATGCCATCTCCAAGCTGCTTCCTGCTGAGAGAGGGCGAAGTTAGGGGAAGTGACCAAAAGTCCTTGTTCTCTTTCAGGTGGGGTGTGGACAGTTAAGAGTATGCAGCATCAGAGCAGTCCAGAAATCCATGTTGGCAGTTGGTGGGTGACTGGACAAGGGCAGGGATCATGCAGATGGCCAAGGGTGTCACCGCGACTTTACCGAGTTTGTTTTCCTTTTTCTCAAAATGGACCATGATGCAGCAACCTGAACCATTCGTGGAGAGAAGGTGGATTTCTCAGAGCTTCGGCAGGTGCTAGGAGATTCCTCAGTCCCTCTCTTTATGCACAGGAACAGCTCCTCTGCTTTGACCCAGGCAGACTCGCCCGTCTCCTAACTCTCCTGCAGTTGGCTGTCAGTCTCCTTGCCTCCTCAGCCTGGATCTGGGGTTGCTTGAAGAGCCAAATCTGCCCAAGAAAGCTGGAGCGGAGGCTGTTCTTGGGTCCCATCTGGGATGGCAAATTTGCTACCAAAAGTTTGGTCCTTTTCCCTGATATGCCAATCCAATAATGACATGGTTTTGAGAAAAAGGGAAAAGGTTTTTTTGCTTTGCTAGCAAAGGAGAAGCACAGGGACTTCTGAGGCTTTGATTCTCTGAAGTATTTTCTGCTGCTGGTGTCAGACTGCTTGCTACCTGACACCTCTGCATCTCTGCAGGAAAGTGCCCACCTGTAGGTCTCCCCTGTGTGGACGCTGGGCACCCCAGCCTCAGGTCCCCACATGCCTGCTGAGCTGCTGATGGTACCCAGTCCGCGCACATTCTACCCTACAGGCTGCAGAAGTCCCTGAAGTCAACCGAGGACCTGGCTCGCCTGCCTGTGGGTCCTCATTCCTGGGTCCTCCTGCGTCTGAAAGGCTCCTGTATTCTGGCCTTCCTGGGGTGGGAGGAGAAGAGTCCGAGCAGTGCCTCCTAAATGATTGTTTACTTCAGGTGAAGCATGTGCCAGAGACAAGGACTTTGCCGAAACAGCATTCCACAGGGCTTTGGAAAAATAAGACTCTCTCATGTCTCATTTCTAACCATAAAATAAGGCCCTCGACTTTGCACAGGTTTGCTGGATTAATAGTTGATAGTTGCTGTTCTTACTTGGGGGTGACATCTGGACTGATTTCTAAAATTAGTGTTTAAGCTGTTTGTTCACATGGATGTTCCCTAAATGGGCACTAGAGATCACAAAGATAAACGGAAGTGTGACAGTGAGATTTATTTTCTGTGTTTAAAAGTCCTGGAGTCTGGTCTGTGTATTCCCCTTGAGATGCAGCCCTGAGGAATGGTCTCAGAGGGGCCAGGTGGTCACCAGGAAGACAAAGACACCTGACCCAGGGAGGTGCTGGGGATTTGAGACCCAGGTGGCACTGGTACACCTGAGGAGGCTGGGTGCGTGTCCTGGAGGCTGGCGGTTGCCCGTACCTTGGTTTATGAGTTGGGATTGTTAGGCGCTGCCCCTCTCTCCTGAGGGGCCACCTTGAGCTGCAGACTGTGGAGGGTGTGCGCAGCACGTCCTTCTGCAGGAGTCAGGTCCTGTTGTCTGCGGAGCCCTCTAGTCATGGACATGCAGCTTCTTCCCGGCTTACCTGTGAAGCATCCAGGTATTGCCAACTGTCCTAGCTTGTGACCTAATGCTGGGTTCACAAAAACTGACTACTCCAATAACTCAAGAAAACTACAAAGAAAGCACGCAACCACACAGAAATACCTTTTTCAATAATTCAGAGACGACTCTGTGAACTCTGTGACTGTGAACTCTGTGACTCTGTGGAAAGAGAGGGAGCGAGCCACTGGAATTCTTTATTCTTATATAGGGAACCCACAAGAGGAGGTTTCATGGAACATTCTATACCAAAAAGGGTAAAGGGGTAGGGTTACAAGGGAACAGG